CAAAGCTATTTCAGAAAAAGAAACAAGACAAAACTAGATAAAAATTGGTTACTTTTGCAAAAAACAGTCTTTCGGTACTTCCAGAAAGGTTTAAAGCTGCTTCGATAAAAATGGCCAGACATAAGGGCAAAATGGTAAAAGGTGAATAAATATGGATAAAGTAACTATTTTTTTTTTGTACAAAAATGGCCCTTCAGCATTTGACCAAAATAGGCTCTCCCTTTTTTTCGAAAATATTATGCACACGCGGAATTCTATGCTCCCCCCTTTTTTTGAAAAATGTGGGCTGAACCCGATGGAGGTTGCCTACGTATCTCACATCCGGTGAGAATCGAACCCGCGTAGTTCGGTAAAACTAAGTACCCTTTTTTTTATTTTTATTTTTTTGAAAAATTAATCTTTACAACTCACACCAGACTATTACAATATATATATATATATATATATATATTCTTTCTTTTTTAGAAAAAAAGTTTATTTGCACTAACTAGGAGAATTAATTCTTTCTCTCTCCTCTCTCTTTTTTTTTTACTTCTAATAATTACACTAATTTTTTTTCTTTAAACCGATCGACATTGCAATAAAGCCTTCCAAAATCCGATGTATAATAGCACATACATGAACATGTTGATGGTCTCGAAGGATATCTGCTTATACGGACCCGGCCCATGTGCCGAGTTTTTTTTCGCTAGTCAACTTGGACTTGTGATCAAATAAAGCTAACCTTACTAGGGATTATCCGGCATGGAGGTTTGTGTCTTCTAGGTTTAAATCTTATTGGAGAAAGTATCTAGACTGGCTTAACCTCAGCGGACAGACTCAGACCGAGGAGGGTCATAACGTAGCAGCTTTCCGCTAACGGGGCTCCCCTGCCCTAAAACATTTGTGACTAAAATTCCTTCACCAGGTGACAAGAGCACCCGGGCTATCTCAAGAAAGCGGCTATCGTCAAGCAAATGCCCTTAATTTTTAATTTCAGCACCCCTTTTTCTACTACCCCAAAAAATATTGTTATGTGTATGGCATATTATGGTGGGTTAAAGAGTTTTTTCCAATTGAAGGTGGAACAAATTTGAGTAGGGATTATTTTTATTTTATAGGAGTCGCCACTTGAATTGGTTTTCCGCTGCTTCCAAGTACCTTTGTATTGAAAATCCCTAGTCATAAGGAAAAGTTTGACCTATTTTATCGGCCCGCGAAAATAAAAGTTCGGGTAAAGATTCTGTCTTGACTCGGGGAGAAGGGTATAGCATTCCCCAGTCCCGTGTTCTAGCATCGTCGCTTTATTTGACTTAAAACTTGGCTTGAGTAATTTTGGATACAAACTTGATTTAATGTATTTTCATGTTTTACCTATCCGCTTTTAATTATTAAAGTGTTAAAAAAATAAAGTTATGATATAAACAGTATTTAAACAATTGTCCTAACCCCGCTACGAGCAAGCGAATATGCGACAAAAGGAATTTTATCTACTTTTGTGCGTAAACAGCGCTACGCAAACAGCAATCCGGCAGAGTTATGACAAAGGATTATTAGCACGCTATTATTTTCAGAAAAAAATATAGCTGTATTTGTGCTTTTTTGTGAGAAAATTATTATTAAAAGGTTAACTATCGCTATTAAAAATAGTTACCTATCGCCGCTACGCGAGCGAATCCGCGAGTATGGTGAAAGATTAGAAATTTAACTATAAAACTATAGATATTGAGTAAGTAGATTAGTGAATTAGAAATTATTGAATGTTAAACATCACGTCCACGAAGCGAATCCGTGAATGAAAAAAATGGATTAAGCGTGCCTTACTGACTCCTAGCAATTCAACTAATAAAAAAAAATGTGTTAATAATTATAACAGAAATCTGATTTCTATTATTATCTTCTAGCCTTATGGTTGAAAATTGTGCAAAATAAAATGTTGACCAACTCAATCGTTTTTTAAAAGAAATATGCCAACTTCTTGTTAAAGAGAAATGGGCCAGCTTAATGGGATTTTAGAAGATGGGCCAGCTATTTATTTATTGAGTAAAGTGGGCCAATTTGCTTATTTAGTTATTGTATTTGACGCCAACATCCATAAAATAAAATGGACAAAATGTTTAGTAGAGCTTTCTTAAAGGCATGGCCTATTGGGACAGAATATGCCTTGGCCCATTATTGAGGTCTCCGAAAAATGGCATTAAGCTGAAAGCCCAATGAATTTCAAATGCTGAGGTTACTAAGATAGCCCACCTGGGGTAAATTGCGAGTCTGGCCTCTTTTGTTTCTAGCATTAACCCTTTATTTTTTAACTAGCAATTCAAACACCATTTAAGATCTAGCACTTCTACCAAAAAAAATCTAAAATCTAGCAAGTATGTCATCATTGAAAATCTTTGAATTTTATCACAATAAATAAATGTTTCAAGCATGGCTCTTGTTATCTTTTCTTAAGGAAATAGCCTATCATGAACTGGCCAGAATTGCCAAGGTGCAAAAGGAGTCTTTTAAGCACATTGCAAACCTACTTGAAACATTTCTCATTCTTATATGCAGTCAAAACTACTAATATAGTAAAGACAAATAACACATGAATAAAAGAGTGTGTTTGATCAACCAAGGATTTATTTTTTACATATTGAACAACAAATATATATTAAACAATAAAGAAATTTAGTAAGCACTCATTTATTTAAATTGGAATATGCTTCCCAACAATCAATGAGTTCCAATTCTTTCTTTGTTAATGTTGAAAATATCTGGCAACATAAGATTAAAAGATGTACCGGAGTTGCCAATATAAATACAAACAACGAAGAATTGGGAACTCAGAACTAAAGCAGCATTAAAAACAAGCAGCAAAACAGCAGAAAACAGCCAGCAAACTCCATTAAAACAGCCCAAAAACTTCGAGAAGAAACCCAGAAACGAACCTAAAGAGGACTTTATACTTTTCTATAAAAGTTTCACTCTAAATTCACTCCTAAAGCTTCACCATTTCAGGCTTACTTTTCATTGTTCAAACTGCTTGAAATGTTTTTATGTTTTTGTGTGTTTAAAGCAATTCTCAAAAATGTCTATAGAAGTGTGTTCTAGTCCTTTAATGAAGGACAAGGGCATCCTTAAATAGGCCAAAGGAAAGCCAACTTTTTTGGACAGATTTTTGTTGAACATAAAATCTGTCCAACAAGAGGACTAAATTTGTGTGCAAAGGCTGTCCAAAAGGTAAAGGCAAGCCTGAAACTGCTATGCAGGAGCCAAAGGGTCACTTCAGCCACCCCTACTAAAAGCAAAGCTACTAGTACCCTACAAAATATCTAAATTCAGATTTTAACAACACCAATATCAACCTATTGATTCAAAATTAAACCAGTATTAAAAACATGTAGTTAAATTTCAACACATGTATTATTGAACACCAAACATGAGCAAACAAATTAACTATTAAAAGCCAAACGGAAACGCACGATATCGCTGAAGCGATTTAACAAAGAAGACATACATAATCAGAATATGCGATTTAGAATAAAGAAACAAGATAGAAACTAACTCTAAACTTGAAAAACTTCAAAACAAAAAGAAAAAATATAGAAAATTAATAACGGGGCGTGATTTCGATTTACCATATCACTCGAGCATCCGGAGCGACGATAGCAGTGTACGACTTTCGAGCAAGCTTCTATTGTTATATATATTTGGAGGACCATAAAAATTCCGGGAATCCGATCCATGTTCAATAATATCAACGACACAAACCTTGCTCGAGGCGGTAGAGCAACAAAAGGCCGCCAGTGCGGCGCGCCTTAGGGAGTGGGTGTGCGCTAGGGCGGCGTGGTTTTTTTTTGATTTTTGAGTCGGAGATATGGAAAGAGGGGGAGAAGAGGAGGCCGGTGGTGTAAAATTTCCGAAATTTGGGGTGGTGGGCGGCGTGGCAGAGAGGGTGGAGAGAGTGATAAGAGAGAAAAAGAGAAAAGAATTATGGGTGGAAATGGGAAAATTTTTCAGATTTTGGAGGCTTTAAATACCTAGGCCAAGAGTCAATGAGATCCATTGGATCAAGATGGAATGGAGGGGTAAGATTTGATCTTGTTTCATTTAGTGAAACGACGTAGTTTTATTATGAAACTACGTCGTTTTGATCCGGGTCTTGGCAAGCCATCAATTGGTCTGGGTTGGTGCAATTGGGTCAATGATTTGGTCCTATTTTTTTAGCCCATTTCACTTTAAAATAACACTAGCCCAAAGTTTTGTTCCTCTCTTAATTAAATCATAATAAAACTCTCAAAACCTACATACACACAAATAAGAACACACACACACACACACACACACACACACACACATATATATATATATATATATATATATATATATATATATATATATATATATATATATACACACATATATATAGAATAAAAAGACATGGCAAAAATTAAGCATTTACAAGGCTAGTTGCAAAGGGGTATAGTCAAAGGGAAGGATTGGACTATCATGACATTTTTTCACCAGTGGCAAAAATGGTCACTGTAAGGTCAATCATAGCACTTGCTGCCTCAAAAGGTTGGAATCTGTTCCAAATGGATGTGTACAATGCCTTCTTGCAAGGTGATTTGTATGAGGAATTTTATATGGAATTACCTGAGGGATTTAGACAACAAGGTGAAAAGAAAGTTTGCAAGTTAATGAAGTCCTTATATGGGCTTAAACAAGCTACAAGACAGTGGAACATCAAGCTAACAGAAGCACTTCTAGGTGCAGGTTTCATTCAAAGCAACTATGACTACTCTCTATTCACTATGAGAAGCCAGGAAGAGGTAGTGATTGTCCTAGTTTATGTGGATGATCTTCTCATCACAGGAAGCAGTGCAAACCTGATCAAACAAGCCAAGGATAATCTACACTAGAAGTTCAAAGTCAAGGACCTAGGAGAACTTAAGTACTTACTGGGAATTGAAGTACTAAGATCCAAGGCTGGCATTTTGTTGAACCAGAGAAAGTATGTACTGCAGCTTATCTTAGAGATGGGATTAAGTGGGGCTAAGCCTGCTTACACACCCTTGGAGGCCAATGCAAAACTCACTTCAGTAGAATATGATCAGGCAAATGAAGTTAAGGATGATCCCCTGTTGCAGGATATCAGTGCCTATCGAAGGCTAGTTGGAAAGTTGATGTATGTCACCATTACAAGACCTAACATCAATTATGCTGTGCAAACCTTGAGCCAGTTCATGCAAAGGCCCAAGAAGTCTCATTGGGATGCTGCAGTTAGAGTTGTAAGATACTTAAAGAATGCACCGGGACAGGGAATCGTAATGGCTTCTAATCATACAGGGGAGTTAACATGCTGGTGTGATTCAGACTGGGCAGCATGTCCCAATACAAGAAGGTCAGTTACTGGTTATGTGATAAAGTTTGGAACTTCCTTGGTGTCTTGGAAATCAAAGAAACAACAAACTGTGTCAAGAAGCTCAGCTGAAGCTGAGTACAAAAGCATGGCTGCTACAACTGCTGAAATTGTATGGTTACTAGGTCTGTTTAAAGAGTTGGGTGTGAAGATTACACAACCAGTGACAATTCTTAGTGATAGTATGTCTGCCATTCAGATTGCAGCAAATCCCATACTACATGAACGAACAAAACAAATAGAAGTCGATTGTCATTTCATTAGGGACAAGATCAAATAAGGGATAGTTCAAGCAGTGTATGTGAATACAAAGGAGCAGCAGGCTGATTTGCTAACCAAAGGTTTGGGAACTGCCCAACATGTGCATCTTCTTGACAAGCTTGGAGTGCTCAACATTCTACACCCTCCAGCTTGAGGGGGCATATTGTAATATAGATATAGCACATGTAAAAGTTAGTTAGTCACGTGCCTTTTTCTGTTAGACAGCTGTTAATTAGTTAGTAGGTTAGCTTAAATTAATGGTAGTTAGTTGTATAAAATATATTGTTCTTCTTCTTTGTTTACCCTCGAATCCGGATAACAATTGAATTTATATGGGGTTTTAAGGATCCGTGAACTAAAAGATACAAAAGGTTTTTAGGTTAAGGAAAATAAAGATAAAGACTCAACAATTGCTGTTAAAGTAAATAATCGCAAAATATAATATTGCTTAGAACAATTGTGCTTGATCATTCCCCAGAATTTAGAGATATCCCCTTTTATACATTCTGATTAAGGGTAAAAATAAGGTAGGTAAATTGATTACATCGTGGATCCCTGTAATTACGCCTTAATGGCCTGAAGTGGTTGAGAAAATCACGTTTGGGCGAGATATCCGGCGACGCTTGGTTATCCGTTACGAGTCCGGCTTCCGACCTTGTGTGTTTCTCCATCCGGTGGTGACTCCTATCGAGCTCTGTAACGGTCTCGAAATGACTCGACCTCGGTTGTAGACGTGGCCGTCGTTCTACCTTGCATCCAGGTCGGGTTCGATGGCCCCGATTTGCTCCGGACCGGACCCAACCGTTATGATGGCACTCGGTTTTTCTACGGCAGATCTTAGAGTATAGACTTTTTACAGGAGTTTTGCAGCTCTTATTAATACTCGGGGGTGGGGGGGGGGCACAAGGGTCAAAAAAGGCTTATCCTGGTTTTTCGCCTCCCACCACGGGAACGATTTGGATGATTGTCTTCTATCCATGTTTCGTTGCGCTCGAATATGCCGTGGCCACTATCTTGTTTACCCAGCCGGCCAGATCCTTGACGGGCACTGGAGTTTTGGGTCACCGCTGCAAGAAAAGGGGGTTTTCAAGGAAGAAGTTCTGAGGAAAAACACGGCTCTAAAGATGAAGCAAGTGAGAAAATACTTACGTTTGAGGTTCACCTCTCGGAAATGGCATGCAAGGCGGATCAGGTCGGACGTCCTGATTCGGCCAAACTGCTTCATCCAGCCTCGATCTTTGTCTTCAATCGATGCTGGAAAGATGGCGGGTTTGAAAGCCCGGCGGGCCAGTTTTATTAATCCCCCTCAGAAAATATTCGGGGCTGTATATCGAAGAAGATGTCGAGGGTAAGGGGAAATCGCCCTCGACTTCCTCAAACAAAAACCGAAAGAGATATAGAACCGCCACATGATGGGGTGGATTGACTAAGGTACCTCGTACGCGCAGAACTCCACTATGATGGGGTTCTACGGGGCCTAAGGTGAAGGGATATGTATATACAATTAAGATTATCCCTTCAACGGTGGAGTCATAATCGACTCGTACGGGAAAGGGGCGACCCAGGTTTTTCCTTCCCATCTCATTCAAGTCCTCACCAGTCTAGGCAACCGGGGGAGTGATTTAAGACTAATTATCCGATGCCGGTTCGCCGCGCCCGGACCGGATGATGGGTTTTAACCTGGAAGTCGGCAGATACGAGCAAAGCCAGTCGGTGTGAATGGCTTTAGGGGTTTGGTGCGTGTTCATAGATTTCTAGCGGGGCTGCGGCGAGCCTTGGTCCTAGAAGGAACCACTTTGTGAAGTTTTCGCATTTCTTAAAGCTTTTACGAAGAGATGACGAAAAATACATATCTCAATTTTGCAAGAATATTGAGAAACGCCATAGGAAAAGTTTAGTAGACACCTGGCGAGGCGTTATACTTTTTCCAATGAGGCGGTGGAACGTAATCGAGAAGCCACAGACACGAAAGCGAAGATAATTAAGATGAAAGCACTTAAATGCCTGCAGCAGGCGTGGTCAAGCAGCACTCGACTGGCTTTTTCACCTGGCTATGGCCATATACGTCACGGGATCACGTCACCGTCATATCGTTATTATCATTACTCTCTAATAAACGAGGGGACTATCTGTATTTAGGTGATAACCTTTTTTGCTTGAGCCGACTGGGTTG